AATGAAATGCATTAATGGATTTAATTAACTAAATTCTGACACAATGATCTCTCACTGAACTTCTTACATGCCATTGATAAAAACGGCTGTAAGGATGGGACATGTATCTGAGGAGAGCACTCTCACAGTGGTACTGAGTAAAGCGATCCACAGAGGCATAGAGAGGGCCACTAATCTACCACATACGCGCATTAACTAATTGTACATTCACAAAAGCCCCACAAGGCCAACTTCCACAACACCTCCATTTTATCATTGAAGAAAGCTGGGCAGAGAGACACACTGGCTCAAGTTCTTACCACTGGAAAATACCAGAATAGACTTACACCCAAGCAAGAGAATTCCGAATCTGAACCTCTGCATGCATTAGTTCTCCGGGAGTTAGATGTGGTTTTATATTATTTTAGTTTCATGGGATGATTTTTTTCTTTCATTTTAGTTTAGATAGAGTTCATTAGGTATCCTAGGCTTGCCTGCCACTCACTATATAGACCAGGATTGCCTGGAACTCACAGAAATCTGTCTGCTTTGGGAGGACTAAAGGCATAAGCCACCCTGCCCAGCAGGAAATTAAGGGTTTTTTTTGTTTGTTTTATTGTTTTTTTAATCTCCGGTTTATGAAATAAGAAACTTTCATCAAAATAGCTGGCTAATTAGTAAAAGAAGCCAGACTAAGAGTCCAGACTTCTCCAATGCCCTTATCTGTGCTGTATTCTGTAGCACAACACAGAAGTGGTTATCCAAGGACAGACTTAATGAAAGGAAACCCCTGTCATCATCTGTCTCCAACATTCTTGAGATGAAGCTGTAGGTACACCCCTCAAATCCCAAGGGCTGGAAAAGCATCTCAGCAGTACAGCACTTTCCGAGTATTACACAAAGCTCTTGGTATTGACACTTACAAAAAATAGTTAGTTAATTAATTAATTAGAGATAAAGCATTCATCACATGCAAGTATTTTCATGAAGTCTTTCTTTAATCCTCCAAAAGAAAGTGATCTTGACCTTCCCTGTATCAGCAGATGTCTTTTATATACACACATATATGTACATATACATATGTCTCTACATATCAACATATTTCTTTCCTTTCTTGCAGTGCTGGGGACTAAACTAAGGACCCTAAATATGCTAAGCTGACAGAATCTACAAATATACTGTATCCTTGGCTGTTTGTTTTATTTTGCTTTGTTTTGTGGATACAGGGTTTTACTCTGAGGACAAGACTAACTTTCAACTCACTATGTAGCTCACATTGATAATCCTCCTGCCTCAGCCTCTGAATGCTGCTTTTACAAGTATGCATCACCACACCCAGCCAAGCATACCATGATTATTGTAATTGCCAGTGTGTTTCTTGAATTTTTCAAATTCCACCGTAAACTACTTAGAATCAGCAACTGTAGTTTATGTCTGAACTTACCCTTAGAGCAGCTGCTCTAACAGACAAATGTTTGGAACATAAGGATCCAGGAAACTTTTCCTGACCACTATTTTATTAATAATAATGCTGAGCTAGGAACAAACCTCCTCAGTCCCTGTATTCAATCCCCAGCACCCCAAATTACAATACACATGTCAATAACCTATGAGAAAGTATCAATCATGAAGAGAAAATGATATTTGCATATTATAAGTAATTTAAATGCAAAATTTTGTGACTGAAAGAACTGAGAATTAATAAGCTTAAATAAAAATTTCAAGGTTTCACAGCAAGTAAAGTTTCCAATCCTAAAATTCACCCAGGTAAAGTCATGTGCCTGCAGTCTCCACACTGAGGGAAAGATCACACATCTTAGAGTGCCTACTATATTTAGAAATCTCCTCTCTTCCTGCCCATAAATAAGTAGGAAAATAAATAAATGTAATGTAGTCCAAAAAGGCACAAGCTTTTAAATTTTTGGACAAATAAAAAATAATCCACAGGTAGAAATATTGAAGAGATTTTAAAATCACGCTCCAGGTTAAGAACACACATAAAAAGGTAAGACAATAAATCAATAAATATGAACCTTAGAAGTCAAAATGCACTAAATATGACACAAGGAAAGAGCTTGAAGCACTTAATTAGAATAATGATTATGATCAGATTGAATTAATAATTGATAATAGAAAAAGCACAGACTTAGAAGACTGAAGACTAGGGCTGAAACCATTAAGGCAACCTTTTAACTTTGGTCCTTGAGCACACAATCTTTCTCAGCCCCTGCTTCCCAAAATGGTTTTATGAAACAGCTGGAGAGATGACTCTGTGGTTAAAAGCACTGCATGCTCTTCAAGAAGACCTGTGTTCAATCCCTAGGACCCGTATGGCAGTTTACAACTATCTGTAACTCCAGTGTTGGAAGTCCATTACCCTACATAAAATAATAAAATTAAATTAAAAACAAAATGTCTTTTTTAATTTTTTTTGGTTTTTTGAGACAGGGTTTCTCTGTAGCTTTAGAGCCTACCCTGGAACTAGCTCTTGTAGACCAGGCTGGCCTCAAACTCACAGAGACCCACCTGCCTCTCTCTCCTGAGTACTGGGATTAAAGGCATGAGACAACACCGCCCAGAAAAATTTCTTATGAAAATAATAATGATAGATCTCAGAGATGACAGCTACTTCCAGAGTATGTGGAAAACATACTCGAGTATTCAAGAATAAAATTCTATCTTCCCCGTGGTTGGGTATTGTTCACATTGTTGCCATTCTTATGAGAAGAGAGTATGCGAAAGGCCATGTTCTTTCGAAGAATGGAGAAGCAAGCTGCCATTGCTGCATTGGCTCATCATGTGGTAGCAGAATTTATTATTCCTAGGAGGAAGGGAAGCAAAGTACAACCATCCAAAATCCAATATCTTTTCTTCACACTAATTTTTTAAATCAATTCATATCTGGAGGACAACACAAGAAAGCCAAGTTGGAGCCCCCCCTCTCATAAATCTCTGTTTGTGAGTTTCTCCATGACATCTCCAGCAGCCAGCTTTGAAAGCAGAAGCATGGCATTTGGCACTAGTTCCTGTGTATGTGAACACCAGTTCTACCTATTGTTGTCACTTTCAGATATCTCCACTCTAGTATCTGAACCTCAGTTTCCTCTAATATAAGGAGAGGCTGTTCCATAAAAGCGCATGCCTAAAGTAGTTCAGTTCCACTCAGTGGTGCTTAGCTAGCTCCATTATCCCCTTCGGTTCTCCCTAGGTCTCCCCAAAGTGAGAAGTCTTGGGCCAATGTATTCTCAACTCTAAACTGGTTCTTGCCACCAGGGATGGATGGTCCAAGGCTGGCAATGCTATCTTACTGAGGAAACTGAATGCCAATTACAGAGACAAACATATTGATTATGGTTGCAGATAAATCAATGACCCCAAAGCAATTGGCTTTTTCCATTACAAAAAAAAATTCTCTGTGCTACTTAATCTCCTAGAAAGCATGTGCCTAAAAACCCAGAATCTGCAAAGTCAAAAAGTACCCCAGAAACTAGGACACCTTTTGTTCTGGCAACTTTTCAAACTAGGAGAGAGAGAGAGAACTGGAGCTTGCAACTGCATTGAGGATTTCTGACACATTTTAGCAAAGCCAATGTCAAAAACAAAATCAAACTGAAGATATTCCAAGGGAAGGAAGTTCTAACCCAGGCTCAACCATTGTGCTAGAGCTAAAGTTGAAGTCATCTGTGCAGTGGCCTGTTAAACAGCTACTTTGACGCTATCTAGAACTGGCTTGGCTTATTTGTATTGTTGCCATTCTGTGATAAGAACTTTTCATTTTGAAAACTCTTAAATCGCTTCCCTGAAGGCCAAAGCAAAGACAAAAATCTTATAAAATGGGAGCCATAGATCACTTACAACTTCATACCTTCAGCTGTGGGAAATGAAAGCTCAAGCTCCCTTGCCCTTCTGTTATCTAGCTTCTTATTCGTTGTGTTGGGAGGGAGGAGAGGAAGGGTAGAAAGGAGAGGGAGCTTCATGAGAAGGGAACCTCAGGTATTTTGTCAGTGTAGAGGAACCATAGTGCAGTCGGTCTCCAAAGAAATATCAGCCATCTCCTACAGTGAACTTTGTATTGTGTTCATATATGCAAACTGTGCTATATTCATTAGCTCAAGAGTTACATGCCGTGTGTGTGTGTGTGTGTGTGTGTGTGTGTGTGTGTGTGTGTGTGAGAGAGAGAGAGAGAGAGAGAGAGAGAGAGAGAGAGAGAGAGCGCCTATCTACATAGCCTTGTCCTCTCCCCCTACTTGGACAGTCACACACACACACACACACACACACATGCACACACACACATGCACACACACACACATGCACACACACACACACACTCACACTCACACCAGAGAGAAGAGAGAGAGAGAGAGAGTCAATAAATCTAGCAAGGAAGAAGCAAGCACTAGAGCCGACCAGGGAGAAGATAGCCTTTAAATAAATCTAAAGTGCTCTTGTGATGTAGGTGCCTCTGCTCCTGCTTTCCAGCAAAGCCCTGTTGCTGAGGCCTCTTCATTTACAGATGCCCAAAGACATTTTTAGATACTTGTGAGCTGATCTCCAGCTCAGTGCACCTGGCTCTTTCATCTGGAGGGAAAGGAGGGGGATAAAACAGAAGCATTTGCTCCTGCCCGGACTGGGCAGGGATCCCTTCCCCAGCCCAGCATCTTACTCCTCTACCCCACCCCAGGCTGCTGCTCCACTTCCTAGCAAAATCCAGGAGGAGGCCAACCAGCTAGGGAGGGCCACAGAAGGGATCCAGTCTATTCGCTTCAGAGGCTCACCCCTTTTGCATCCCGCCACCCACCCATCACCTTCTGCAGAGCTCTCCCCTGTCTTTGAGCCACCCAGCTCTGCAGGCTTCCCTCTCACCCCCGCCCCCGTGATCCCCAGAAGGATGTCCTCCGGAGGAAGAGGGCTGTCACCAAGTTGGAGAAACTTAGATGGTAAAGGTTGGTGTACCCTGGTCCTCCTGGAGGATCCTCAATCTGCAGAAAGCAAGAGAGGGCTGGTAGCCCTGGGCTTACCACGAGCACTGGGACGCCAGCAGCCAGCGAGTAGAGGAGCACAGGGGGCACAGCGCTGCTGTCCTCTGGGCCCGGATAGGGCTTGCGGTAGGCGCTGTCGTGGCAGAAGAATCCCTGCACGTTCACAGTGAACGTGTCCGTGTATTCGAAGTAGTACGCCAACATCACCGTCCCTGCCATAATCACCATCTGGAAATAGAGCATGCTGCTGATGAACGCCGCGGGCAGCAGGGGCATGCACGCCTCCCGGCCAAGTCGAGCCGAGCGGGCGGCCGACGAGCCACAGGCCCCCTCAGGGCTCCGCCGAGGCACAGCCACCGGGGGCGCGGGGGCGGAGGCGGCGGGAGGCCGAGGTGGCGCGAGGCGGAGGCTGGCAGCCGCCAGAGGCAGAGGCGGAGGATGCGGCTGGGCTCTGGGATGCGCGGGCAGGATGCAGAGGAGGCGGCTACCCCAGGACGAGTCCAGGCTGCCCTACCCGCCCCCTGCCCGCCGCAAGCGCCGCCCGCCCGGGCGCGGGGTCGCGCGCAAGGGCGGGGAGTCCCCGGCCCCGACACGGGAGCATCCGCCACACCGCAGCGCCGGGGTCAAGCCCTCGGGCCGGCTCGCGGAAAGCGGCGTCGGAGGCACCTGGTCCTCTTGGAGAGCGGGTGGATGCTGTGGAGCTGCAGCTGCTAGCTCCCTGGCGGGGGTAAAATCCAAAATCCGAAGGGGAGGGGAGTCAGCAGAGATGGAGCTTCTAGAAACTCCCTTTCGAGGCACCAGCTGGGCTGTTTCAGACCTCCCGCACAGCGCCTGGGAAGATGGTGCGGGGACACGTCTTCAGGGCGCAAAGCCCACCGAAGCGCAAAGTGTCCAGGTGCCGCCTGAGACTTGCAGCCTCTGTTCACAGTTCCCGCACTCCGTGACCCCTGCGCTGGACAGCAGCTGGGCGGTGTGGCTTCCAGAATGATGACAAAAATTATCTCAAAGGATTTTATATTCTGGATAGCTTTGCTTCCCCTCCAGTTTTCCAAGGCTTTGTAAATAAAGCCGCAGAATCAAGGCTCCTAGATTCGGAGACATCATCTTAGGTACACCGGCTCTTCCCAAGTTCTACGTATCTCCTTTCTCATCTTCTCAGTCTCCTCTGATTAGCTGCTTGAGAGAGGAGGCATTGCAGATTCTTGGGACCCAGGGGTACCAGTCACCAGGGAAGGCGGAAAGAGCTATGTGTTTCATGTCCCTAACTCCAGAGTTCAGGGAATTGCAGGGATTCCTCTGAGGTCAGGAGACTCACACGGAATCATAACACAGGCACACCAAATGCAATCTTACATAGCTATTCACACGTGTGCGCGGATATTTAAGTAGCTTAGGAGCTATACATATGCAGAGAGTCAGTTCTGCAATGCCTAGTGAGTTCTGCACACCCGCTTAGGCAATACCTTCAAGCCACCCTGACCTGCTCATACCAACCAGTCAGTCCAGCAGGCAGAGAAAATATCGTGTGCACAAGGCAAGGGAAGGAAAACAACTTCAAGAGCTCTGCCCTTCTCATTATATTGTGAAATTACCAGATTTCTGGGGCGTTCATTCATTTTAATAGGTTGTTCTGTTGGCTTTTGGTGGTAGGCCTTTGTCTTCAGGGAAATACAACATAAGCCCCAAGCAATAGCGGCCTTAATTTGGCAGACGACCGAGGGTGAGGATGGAGTGGTAATAGCACTGGGAATTTCTGGAAGGTTGAATTGATGTGAGATGGACCACCACATAATCACAAACACCACTCGACAAATAATTATTTCAGAGAACGCTTGACAGATCACTCTAAGTGATGGATAGGACAGGCAGTTTTGACCAGTAAAAGTAAGATGCCTCTAAATGTACAAGAATGACTTGCCAGTTTACAAAAATGTGGCTACTCTAAAGATAGATGATGATGTAAGACTTCATTCAGGAAATTGCTCCAAGGCTATAAAGGGGCTTGACTACTCCTCTGGTCCCCTGACTAGGACTGTCACTAACCTTCCCACTCAGTAGATTTGTGTGTGTGTGTGTGTATGTGTGTGTGTGTGTGTGAAGAAACGGTGTTGATTGTTAAGGGTTGCACCTTTGAAACAGTGGATGAAAATGCACATTACTGTTAAAATTAAAATATTTTGTGATCGCCCCAGTGTGTATTGATGGCCTTGTACTGGGCATGCAGCAAAGTTCTTGTTCTGTCACCCACCCTATGCTGGCAGTGTGACACAAGAAGTAAATGTCCTTTTGAAAGATTAACGTGGTCACTCCCCTCCCAAGAGCACAGACATAGCTTCACACGTACAACTTGCCGAGAGGTAGGACCCACAGTTTTTTTGCTCATACACTGCCATTGTCACAGTGACAGAGAGGGCATAAAGGGAGCAGCAACTAGACCACTGCCTGGACTCAGAAGTGAGCGCTGCCACTGGACTGCTCTAGAAACCTGGGCAAGAAGCATGGCTTCTTTGGAGTGAAAAAAAAAAATCCTTAGTTCGCTGCATTAGCTGTACAATGGTGTTTAAATTATTTTTAAAAATCTTCTAAAAATAAAGATATTTACTTACCTAGATTTGACTCAGAGGAGTCACCAGTCACCTCCTTATGTTAGCTTCCAGTATAGGAGCTTCTGTAAAGGACCTGGCTTCTCTATAAGCCTGGACTGTGTCTATGTGAGCTCACAATCTGTCTGTTCCTTAGAAATCTAAGGATTTCCCCTTCTAGAATTTTAATACACTAATTCTTGTTTAGATGATCAAAGAGTGCTGTTGGCTGGTCCATGGTTAGCTACCCATCAAGTGTTAAGATTCAAAGTTAGTATTGCATTATATGTTCTTCCCTTACATCATAAGGACATCAACATGACAATCACCTTCCGTGGATGTTTGAGCAGACTGGATATTCACAGCCTGGTTCAGGTGGGTGAGAATGTGCATTCTACATTCCTACATAATGTGTAATGCATCTACTTCACCCTCCCACACCTGAGCTACTCTGGGCTAAAGTAGACACATTTTCTTACCTCTGAACTAATTTTGTCAATAGTGATAATATCAAAATTACCTTGTTCAAACAATGTACTTATTTGAGTGTGTTTTTCCACTTTATATTCTATTACATAGTTTAAACAATATTTTCTAAAAATATATCTTCTCAACTACCAATAATTTTTAAGTCCTACCTTAATTTTTATCTAAACTAGGCTAGATTAAAAATAGCATTATTGGCGCTTAATCTTTTGGAATCCGGATTAAATATGTGATTTAATTTAACTCTTAATCAATCTTTGTGCTTGACAAAAAAAAAAAAAAAAAAAAAAAAAAAACCACCACATCAGACTCTCTTAACAAAAGACTGCTTTGTCCTTCAGGCTCCCCCCATATCAGCTCTCACCCAGGAATGTTAATATAATTCATGTGAAAAGGTGTAAGTTAAATATCCAGCTTCTAGTAATGCATATCACCTGCAAATGCACATGCCCTTTACCACATTTTGTCTCAGTAAACTTCTGAGACAAACCTCGGGGAATTATTGATCAATTCTAGTATCTCTCTCGCCTTCAAGCTAATGCTATGTGATCAGCTAGCAAGCAGAAAGGTACCACTGCACCATGGGAAGATGTGACCCTTTCGCAAATGGTTCACAACTATTCTTTAGCAGACAGAAGACAGATGCAGATGCATCAAAAAGTGAAGATAGAAAATATCTATGTTGATTCTAAGTACAAGGACAAAGAGGCCAGCCGTGGGCAGGCAAACACTGATTATTTGAGAATGCCTAGTTAAGTGAAAACTGAATGAACGTAATTCTTCCCTTTGAACTTTGAGAACTGAAGTTGCTCACTGGAAAGATACAGAACATCTCACCTTGGCTCCTTAAGATAATTATCAACTGGCTTCTCTGTTATCGAAATAGTCTTCTAAGGGGCAAGATTTGGGAGCTAATAAATCAAAAGAATTTAAGAACCAGGTGTCATTGTAAATGCCTACCACCCCATCATTAAATTTATTGAAGAAGAAGGGTTGTGATGGGGGAGAGGGTAAGACTGAGGATTTTCTAAGATATGAATATATGGAATAGAAAATGTGCATAACAATGTATTGCCAATAACTAATAGTAAGCCCAGATATTTTCTTAATATTTTATCATTAAATGTAGAAAGTAAACCACAAAACAACAGAAAGCCCAGGAAGTAATTTTTTCTTCCATGCATAGCCACGCAGTGGAATGTGAAGGACACAGGGGTTTCATATGAGATTAAGTAGGTACCACTCCCCAAAATAAAATATTCCTCCTTTAAACACACAAGAAAATGCACATTTATATTACCAAGCCTGAGAGGGTGATGCTTGAGGAGACTTGGAGCTGAAAAGCTAGATGACTTTGTACTAATGAGGAATTTTAAATATTAACATACAAATTGGTGGAAGCTCTCCTGAGACAAGAGTGCAAATAGAGTAAGAAGAGGGATGCTTTGAAAAAAAATAGATCAGGTAACTGCTTTTGGAATTGGGCCACCCAGTAATCCATTCTAAATTATTGGGTTGGATGAGAAAAATAATACAAATAATACAAATACTAATATACCTAAGCCCTTGACTGCTTGGTACAGGCAACACCTCTGAAGCATGAATGAGAAATGAGACCATGAAAGACAGTCTTTAAAAATGGTCATATAAACCCAAAGACACAACATCACGAAAGACACATTGAAAAGGTTTGGCTTTTTGGGATTACATCCTTAACTTCTCATGAGTTACATCACAGAGGACTGCAACCTTGCAGAAGGAGGTTCAGTGTTTGCTGGGAGGTAGCTGCTTTCTCAAGATGCAAGAACGGTGATCTGTGTGTCTTCTTTGATGTTCCAGCTGCAGCATGACCCTTATCTCAAAGGGCAGATACTTCTGAACTGAACAACTCAGTTGTTACAGATGAGGCCGCCAAGGTATCTTTACTATGACTTACTCTGTGACAGAATTATAATTTATTTTATTCTTCTGCATGTCCAGCTTTTCAAATCCTTAATTTCAATGTGGTTGCCACAAATAAAGCATATACTTAAATTGTTGAAGCTACTTTCCCTGAGTGTGCATATATGAAATTTATAGAATTTTCCAAGGAGGCAGAATACCTTATTAAGTATGAATGCTGAGAAAGAATAGAAATAGTTAATGTGTCCTAAACAGAATCCTCCTGTGTTATGGAAATCCAAAGTATTTGGTTGGCAAACGTTAACTGCAACATGGTGGTCATATTCACTGTGTATCCCTGTCTATTACTGAGCTTCACTGAGCTCATTTGCTCATCTGTGAAATTCAGCTTATGAATCTTAACTGCACAGATGTTGAAAGGCTTATATTTACAAAATGCTTCATAAATATTAAAACCTCGGGAAAATATGAATTAGAAAACATAATCAGTTGTACTAACTGCTTCATCTAAGTCTGT